GTTTGTAATTTTAACTAGTTTTATTTATTGTTGCTTGGGAAAGTACACACTTTTGGTGTAATACTTTAATTTTCCTAGTTTATTGTAATTTTTTAGTTTTATAAAATCTTGAGCTTGAATAAATTAATGTACAACAAAGGAGCATGGAAAAAATCTTACAAGATCAAATGAAGGTGCAAAGGAGGAAGAAATCATGCAAAAAATGTGATTTGGTGACTTACCCGGTCGGGTATAATCTTTACCCGGTCGGGTATGGTACTTTACCCGGTTGGGTATGAATTGACCCGGACAAAAAGATATGCTGAAACACAAGAACGTGGTAGATCGATTTGATTTTGACTGATACCCGGTCGGGTATGTACATATACCCGCTCGGATATCCTGCCAAAAGTGTTGAAAACACGTATAAATAGCACACTTTTCCTTCACTTTTAAATATTCATTCTTCCATATACTTAAGCTCAACTTATAACAATATTTTCTTTATATTTTTCTAGCATGTTTTGTCTCCAAATGAGGAGCTAAGCTTCCATTTCTTGGTTTTGCTCTTGAAGCTTGTTGAATGTTAAAGTTGTGAGTTATTTTCTTACTTCTTTTCTTGAATATTAATTCTTCTCATAATCTTATTTCTATATTAATGTTGGGGAGTGTTGCTAATTAAATGACAATTAGTTAACATCTTGACATTAATTAATACGAGAATCGATCAATGAACCGATGATTAATCATTGATAGTTTCACAAGTAAGTAACTTCGAGTTATTAATGCACGGTCATGGTTAATAATCTTAAGAGGGGTTAATTATGTTGGTTAAACCGGAACTGATGAAAACGGTTAGCAACACAGGGGGGGGGGGGGTGAATTGTGTGTGTGTGGAACCGTGCCAGTTTTTCGCACAGTTCTAGTGTGGGGGTCAGGGAATTGCGAAATAGTAAAGTGCACAAAGGTTTAACGAGGAAAGATCCCTTGGATCAAAGGGATTAAAAAACCTCGACCTCCCTCGGAGGAATTTTAAACAACTTCACTAAAAAGCCTTTTGTGGTTACATGGTAAATTCTCCTAATCTACCCTTGAGCCACCCCCAACTCTATCCTCTCTAGGAAGAGTTATGCATCTCTACCTTGCGGGTAGAGAGCCTCTCAGCATTACAACAAAGCTCTCACACACACGACCCCAACCCGAGGAAGCTATACTTTAGCTTTTCCTCAAAATTTAGTTACAAGATAAAGAAGGGAAAAGGAACTATATCTATAACTCTATGAGCAGGTCCATGTGCCTTGGTCTTGATAATTCTTTATAAGTATTTATCTCTGTAAATACTCGGTCAAGCACACCCTTCTTCCTCTTGGTTCTCAAATATATAAGCCACTTTGATTTGTCCGTTGGTGTCTCTTTCCTTGAGTAATTGAGCTTCCATACTTGGAACTTGCCTTGATATTATTTGAATTACTTTCCTTCTAGTAGCTCTCTCTCATTCGTTCTCAAATATGAGTAACTTGACTCATGATTCACGAATCATCATATAAGGAAATAATATTGATTTACTTAACATGTAGGCATGCACAAACATGTGTAGTAATAAAATATTTATGCTATCATTTTCAAGTCAAGCTACTTTAATATCTCATTAGAAAAGCTACTGTCAACTTTTATTAACAGGGTAATCAAATTAAAATGACAACATAGCATAACATTATATAGAAGGAAGTAGTATATTGGCTTATCAAATATGTGCTTCTAAGTTCTGACATCCATTTTTTTTATATTATGCTTTAATAATGTTTGTCATAAAATGTCTTGAAAAATGAGGCATTGAAAAGATTGGACGGTATATTGCATTGTATGTAGCTTCAACTGAGAATATTAAATGATTAATATTTACTTCTAAATATTTCAATATAATTAATATGGAGTATGGAGCAATGTGACATTTTTGTTGTTGTGTGTGCAGGTGTGTGACATTTCATCTGTTAGTGATATCAAAGCATTTGACTCCAGATTTTCTTCAACTAATTTGCCCATTCATGTCCTCTTATTTTCTCCTTTTTTTGATCTTAAAATATAACATGTCATTGATTGGACAATGTCATTTCTTTTGGTTTGTTTTCACCGCAAGTTAATTATAGGTTGGTTTTCCTTTGATCATCATTCAAGTTTTTTGTAGCTGATAGTATCTTATTTTTAAGGTAAATAATGCTGGACTTCTTGAGTTACTATACCAAAAGGGTATACCAAAATTTTGACTTTCAAGAAAAGTATTTTAGATTTATAAACATTGTTGACAAATAAGGTGATAACAATATGCTAAAACCCCACATGATATGTTAATATATTTAAAAGTTAACGTAGTGTTGATATAAACACTACATTAATATATTTGATATCACCACTTGATACGTTAATGTATTTGAATATTTGATATCACCACTTGATATATTTGATATCACCACTTGATACGTTAATATATTTGAAAAATAATTAATAATATATAGTGAAATCAGTAGGCTTGATTGATGATAATAGGAAAGGGTTCTTTTATATTTATTTATAAACATTGTTACGTTAATATATTTGATATCGCCACTTGATACATTAATATATTTGAAAAATAATTAATAATATATAGTGAAATCAGTAGGCTTGATCGATGATAACAGGAAATGATTATTTTATATTTATAAACATTGTTGAAAATTATTTCACACTCAACATAAAGTTGGCAAATTTGAGTGGTACGCATGTAATATATTCTTTGTATTGTTTCACTCTCCCATATATACTTCTTCACTAAATTAAACTATCCACATAAGTGTTTATAAAGATTTAATTTTCATAAAAAAACATCACATGAAATAGTCATTAATTTTAGATGTTTATACAGAGTATTATAATAGGTGAAATTTCATTAAATTTCATCAAAAAACATCTTAAAAACATCACATAAAGATGTCATTAATTTGAGATGTTCATACGTAAATCATAAGTAATAAATTCATAAATTTGCTGAAATTTAAACACACCTATTCAACAATTAAAAGTAGTTTGCAAGAAATAAATTGATTCGGATTGGATTGACGAAAACTACCCCAATGAGTGACCAATCTTGCACGCATAGACCAAATCTATTGTTTTATATAGTAAAAATGTAAAACACAGTTATAGATAGCTGACATGTCGTTCTATTATTGGTTAACAAAAATAATATTTTAATAGAGGAGTTTTAAATTAAATGTTCTAATAGAGGAGTTTTAATATAATTTCTCTTAACCAATAAGCTTGTGACACATCACCCTTTCATAACTGAGCTTTATTATTATTATTTTGAAAAGAAAACGACTATATTGATATCATTAGAATCAGGATCGTTACAACAATCTCAAAATGACCAGAACTGACAACAACATTCACCTTTCAACTACTACTTTTAGCCCTACGATTAGATATAGAGACGACCACCCCTAAAGGAGCAATATGAATCGCTAACCACCAGACGAGCTTAATGCAGCTATATATTGCTGAAAAAATAGATCCACCCCCCACTAACAAAATCAAATATAGCCAAACCATCGATCAATGTAAAAAACCTATTACCATAATCAAATACCAAAAGCAAAACGATAGCAATGAATTTCTTCGAAAACAGATTAAAAATGAGGGCAATGAATTAAGCAGGATGAACTTATCGAGCCGCTGAAACCAATCTTCCATCGCGGTGTTCCGACCCCTAATCACCCATTTCCAGCATGCCAGCGGTTCAGGAGGGGCGGATCTTCATCCCTTCATTTTCTTCATTCAACACCCTGATCTACCCGTGATTCGCCTCAATCTCTTGGCCAACATACCGCACGAGCACAACCAGTCCAAACGCGAACAGTCTTCAGATCCCTATCATCTCCTATGTGTTGCACCCTGTGCTCCAGATGAGAAAAACTAACAAAACTCCGGGACACTGAAGCGCTAAGAAATAAAGCTATAGCCTATAGCGACGCCCGCCGAAAACCTAGACTTGCTAGGACCGCCGCCACCACAAACCTAATCCCTTCACCGTTCCATTATTATTAAAAGGGATAAGGGTCAGATAGAGCCTCGAACTTACAAAAAATGTCAAATAAGGTCATATATATGATGCTCTGTACGTCCGACGCCATTTGGGGTGGTTTCCGGTTAAATTTTTCGATGATTTTTTTTGAGAATCTTATTCATTAAGTCTAGTTTACTAATATCAAATTTGAACTAAAAATTCAATCGGGAAGGCATTCAAATGAATTCTTGAAAATAACTGCGCAGTTAAAAGCGCAATTATCTTCAATAATTTATTTGAATGCCTTCTCGATTGAATTTTTAGTTCAAATTTGGTATGACTAAACTAGACTTAATGAATAAGATTCTCAAAAAACATCATCAAAAAATTCCATCGGGAACCAACCCAAATGGCGTCGGCCGGACATATCATCTTATATAAGACCTTATTTGACATTTTTTTTGTAAGTTCGAGGCCTTATCTGACCCTTATCCCTTATTAAAACAATAGATTTTATGATTTTATAGCTATGAATAAAATCCCCAATGTATTCATTTTTAGACGGTAAAAAAAATTCATATTTACTACCTCCATCGGGAACCAACCCAAATGGCGTCGGCCGGACATATCATCTTATATAAGACCTTATTTGACATTTTTTTGTAAGTTCGAGGCCTTATCTGACCCTTATCCTTTATTAAAACAATAGATTTTATGATTTTATAGCTATGAATAAAATCCCCAATGTATTCATTTTTAGACGGTAAAAAAATTCATATTTACTACCTCCGTCCCTTAAAATTTTGCCAAAGTTGATCAGCACAAAGAATAATAAAGTAAAAACTGCATGGTTGAAATTTGTGAAGAGGAGAGAGAAACAACAGAAATCACAAAATAATTGATTAAAAGGGAAAGTGGTAAAATTTTTTGGAATGTCCCAAAAAAGAAAGATTTAAAAGTGATTAAAGTTTTAAGGGATGGAGTATAATTTTTAAAGACTGTGAAGTTAGAAGTTTTGAACTTTGGAAAGGAAAGCAGTCGGATTATTTCATCACCGTCTCTTCGGCTCTGTCCTCCAAAATTCCACAATTCACCTTTCTTCCCTGTCGTTTCATCCAGGTATCTCCCGTTTCAACGTCACCACCACAAAATTAAGAATCTCAATCGACACGCTATGTAACAATATGCTTGTATAATTTTGGATTTACAGCACCTTGTAATTGGTTTTCACATTTGAATCGAGGCGATTGTTTTCTCAGACCCCGTAATGGTTTTCTGACTAGGAAGGACTGTAGCGATTCGCGGACAACCGCCAATGTCGCTCTTGTCTGGCCACTCACACCATTGTTTTGTCTAGTAGTACTCACGCACGGTTTCAGTTCTTAAAAGAACTTCCGTCGTCTCTATCAGGTGTAGATTGCTCGGTAAATTACTAACTCATCCTTCGTATATGTATTTTAACAAATAAGTTCATGTTTGATGAACTCAAGAACAGATTCGGTCTAAAGCATTCAAATTCCGGAATCTTTGTTCCTGACTTATATTTTTGCTATACATAAAGTCCTGTATTCTCACTCCTTGACGAGGATAAAATAGATTTCAATGTTTATGAATTAGTTTTCTAAATCATTAGTTTCGTACTTCGTATAAAGTTATTCAAATGTTGATATTTTTTGCAATTATAATTGTGTCGTAGTAATTTTCTATTTATAAGAAAATTTTCTTCAATTCCTGAAATTTGTTTTATGGGTTTTTAAACTTGCTAAATGCTAATAAAGTGAGCACCCTATTTTCGAAGTATTGCCCTCCCTTAATTTGTTAAGCCGTATATTCTTTGCTATATTTAATGCACAGGCAACAAAACGTAGCATAGAATAGCCTAGGAATAAATGTCTAAAGAATACATTACCATTTAAAAATATCATCATGAACTTGCCCTGCCTTCAAAGTTGCTGTCATTTCTGATTATCTGAAAGGGTGCTAATTTATGCGGAGTTTGTGTGAACTAGTTATGGTTGTGAAACTGCTAGTGTGGGAGCAGTTTTTAAATTGCATAGCCGCTCTCTGAATTCTGGAAGCAGATTAGTGTTTGATTCAGGGGGTGTTTGGAACTGATTCTGCTTCTGCTTCTTTTTTTAAGGCAGAAGCAGAATCAGAATCAGTTTTCAGAAACTGGTACCCCCCAGCTTCTAAAAAAACTGATTCTAGGAGTAAATTAGAGCACTCGAATCACTTCTGCATTTTCACCTCAACACTCCAACTTCTGCTTCTGCTCCTTGTGTGGAGCAGAAGCAGTTTTAAGAATTAGATCCAAACACCCCCTCAGTGTGGATATTTTTCATATAACTATACAGTTATATTTTACTATCAAAAAATTTCATTTTCGTTGCTGCCTGAAATTGGCAGTTTTTTAATTGAACAATTATTTTAATCACTGTTAAAATTATATCAACAGTTATTTGGCATATGGTGTGCACATGTTTAAAGAGGCGGGGATGGGTTTTTGGCCTGCCGCTCCCTTTTTTATATAGATAAAGATGAGCAGAGAAGCAGAGAAAAAAATTAGTTTGTAGACATTCAGGCTAATTAGCATATCTATTTTCAGGGAAGCAAATAAAGAGAGGCAGAGATAATGAGCAAGCACAATAGAAGATGCAGTAGACGCAAGGCACAGGAAGTTACTCTGAAACAAAGAACTTACAAGAATGATATAAGTCATTTGGAGACTTCTAGCAACCAACAAAACCTTTCTTATTGTATGGATACCTCAGAGGATACACCAATCCAAATAGATACAGCTGGCTGCCAAAAATTTCTTCTTGAAGAAGAATCTTCTGCAAATTTGCTCTCCTCAACGAAAAAAGCTTTGGAAGAAAATATGCGTGGGAAAAAGAAGAAAAGGAAAAATAGTAAAAAGAATTGTTCTGAAACCATCATGAAACCAGAGGTTGTGACCCCCGAAGAAGAGTTAATTGTACAACTGTCAACTCCAGAGCTTCAAGAGCTAGATATGAACATTGAGGCAAACAGTTCCAATAGAAAACAGAAGAAGAACAAGAAAAAAAAGCCTAATATACTCACAAGCGATCCTGTTGTTGTGGACACTTCTTCTGCACCACAACCAGTGACAATTGAGGTAGAATCTGCTACTAGAATGCATTCAACGGAGCCCCAGAAGTTGGTTTTAAGCCCAATAGAAGATAGTTTGGAACCAAAAATGTCCAGGAAAAAGAAGGGAAAGAAGAAGAGAAAAAGTAAAAATATTTCTACTGAATCCATGACTAGTTCTGAGCTTACTCTCCCTGAAGCAGACTCATCTTTACAATTGCCAGCTCCAAAGCTTCATGAGCTAGATATAGACATTGGTGCAAACAGTTCTAACAGGAAGCCAAAGAATAAGAAGAAGAAGAATAAACTAAATATGCTCACAAGTGATGGTGTTGATATGGACACTACTGCACATCCACATGCACTTGAGGTAGAATCTTCTGTGAATTTGCATTCTTTAAAGCCTCAGGAGTTAGTTTTGAACCCAACTGAAGATCTTCTGGGAGAAAATATGTCCGGGTTAAAAAATGGAAAGACGATGGAGAAAAGTAAAAACATTTCTACTGAAGCCATGACTAATCCTGAGGTTACTCCCCCCCAAGTAGATCCATCTCTACAATTTCTAGCTCCAGAGCCTCAAGAGCAAAATATAAACATTGAGGCAATTAGGTCTAGCAGAAAGCATAAGAAAAAAAAAGTAAATAAGCCTGCAAGCGACGTTGTTATTTTGGACTCAACAACTTCTGAACCATTGCTACTGGAGCATCAAGTGGGGTATACAAGTTTGACCAAAGATATATCAGAGCAGTGCCAAAGTGGACAAAAGAGTTCAAATGGTAAAAGGAAGAAGAAAACGAACGCTACAAGTAATGCTGCTGATGTCCACACAATGTCTGGACCTCAACCAGTGGAACTAGAGCTTCAAGAGATGGAGACAAAGTTGATCAATGATACAGAGGAGCTGAATGAAAGTGTCCAAAAGTGTTCAAATGGGAAAAAGAAGAAGAAAAAGAAGAACCTCACATGTGATGCTGCTGTTCTTAACACAACTACTTGTGAACCGCAACCATTTGCTAAAGAGCTTGAAGAGATGGACACAAGTCTGACCAAAGATGTAGAGGAGCAGAATGAAAGTGGCCAAAAGTATTCAAATGGGAAAAAGAAGAGGAAGAAAAAGAATCTGGCAAGTAATGTTGGTGATACAGAGTCAACTGGTCAAGTACTTGTTCAGCCAGAGAGTCTTGAGAGAGGTTCACTTTCTCCTATAGATATTGATGAAAATAATGAAAATGGGCGGAAGAGAAAGAGAGGAGAAATTGATGTAGAGTTGGCTGCACAAATGTCGGAACCTGATAACCAAGAGAAGGAAAAGAAGGCAAAAATTGTAAAGGGGCGAGGTGATGACATAGATCATGCTAAGACCGCAAAACAAGTCTCACTATCTTCTAGGATGGAAGAGACTGAAGCTCTGTGTGTAGATTCTGTAATGTTGTGTTGTGCGGATCTTAATGAAAAACATGGGTCTCATTTAGCTTCTCCTGAAAAGATTTCAACTGCTGAAAGCTGCATTGATCGGAACCATCTTTCATCCGGTTTAGAGGTAACAATGGAATCCATGGATGTTGGCAGACGCATGAAGAGAAAGCTGCTCATTCTTGATTTGAATGGACTACTTGCAGATATAATTATGCCACCACCAAAAGACATAAAACCTGATACAAGCTTTCTACGAAGGGCGGGTTAGTTTTAAATTCCACAATTTTCAAGGCAATCAGTAATACACTTTGTTTGTGGTATTCAAGATACAGTTTGGTTATCGCTGTTCTACTGCTAATTCTATTTACACATATTGATTATTGATTAGCAGTCAGTGAATGTTACTTTCATTTTAGAACTCTTGAAGTGCTACTGTGATGAGTCGGTTTGGCAAAATGAACTGAAAAGCTAGCTGGAAGCTAAAACTTATAGCTAGAACTTGAAAGTTATTATATGTGATTTTAGTAGAATTTTTTGAATCATTACCGGTTGAACATCTAATAATGTGTAAACAAATATAAAATGTCATTTCTTACATTAGTAATAACATATAAATAAATAAAAAATTGTTTTGTAAAAGACTAATGTTATCAGTCTGACGAAAGTGAAAAACTATTAGCTTATATTATATGCCATGCGTGAGACTTTCTAAATAAGACCTTATTTTGAACACTTATTTTATATACAATTTATACTGATACTGTAGAAAAATGTAGCATATACATGTTATTTTATTATGTGTACATCCGGAACTGTATAGATAGGAATTAGAGTTGATTTAGGTCTCTAATTCTTAGATTAGCTCGCAGAGTAGATAAGAATAGATAGATCCTAATATTTAGGATCTGTAACAACTTTAGTTTATCTGTAAATTTGTATATATATCATTGCCGGATGGCTCAATAATATACAAGGAAGATTAATTCTTCAAACCTACATGGTATCAGAGACTTGTTGTTTAAAACACCATAATGGTGGACACTGAATACTCTTATTCCTCCACCCACTCACAAACCCATCATCCTAACCCCCAAATTAGCCAAATGACAAATTACCAGGCCTCGGTTAATTCATCTATGCTCATTACTGGACATAGATTGAATGGAACCAATTACCTAGAGTGGTCACAGTCTGTCAAACTGGCAATAGATGGAAGAGGAAAACTGGGATACATAACGGGTGAAGTAGAGGAGAAGAAGAATGGTGAAGATGGCTACAATGTCTGGAGGTCAGAGAACTCTTTGGTAACATCCTGGCTTCTCAGTTCAATGGATGCATCAATTGCCAAACCTCACATGTTCATGAGAACTGCAAAAGAGGTATGGGATTCAATCAAAGAAACCTACTCAGATCTTGAGAATTCTTCTCAGATCTATGAATTAAAAACTAGGTTGTGGCAGTCCAAACAAGGAAATAGAGATGTCATCTCATACTATAATGAGATGGTATCTCTATGGCAAGAATTGGATCAATGCTATGATGCTGAAGACTGGGAAAGTGCCAAGGATCTGGCAAGACACAAGAAGAGAGAGGAAAATGACAGAGTCTATATGTTCCTAGCAGGAATGAATAGAGACCTAGATGAAGTAAAAGGCAGAATACTGGGGAAGAAACCCTTGGCCTCAATCAGAGAGGTCTTCTCTGAGATCAGGTTGGAAGATAGCAGGAGGAGGGTCATGTACAACACTCCAGTACCTAATGAGGAATATGGGGAATCTTCAGCTTTGGTGGCCAGTAGTGATGACAACAAGAAAAAACCTTGGTGTGATCACTGCAAGAAACTGTGGCACACAAGGGATACATGCTGGAAACTCCATGGAAAACCACCAGGAGCTGGAAAGAAGAAAGTAGAAAGGGCCCTACAAACTACTGTGACTGAGACTCAACAAGAGGCAGGAGTTGAATCTAAACAGCTACCATTCACTCAGGAACATATAGAGTACCTACTCAGATTCATACCCACCCAGTAAATCTCCAACCAAGAAAACCCTACCTGTTCTTTTGCCCAAAATGGTAAAATAACATCATATTTTTGTTCTGAAAAACCTAAAAACACCTGGGTCATTGACTCAGGTGCAACAGACCACATGACCTACATTCCACAGTTTTTTTCTTCTTATCAACCTTGTGCAGGAGATAAGAAAGTTAGAGTTGCAGATGGTTCTTTTTCAGCCATAGCAGGGATGGGAAATATTAAAATTTCCTCATCCATTAACCTTTCCAAAGTCTTACATGTTCCAAAACTTTCCTGCAATCTTATCTCTATTAGCAAAATTACTAAAGATCTTCAGTGTTGTGTAAATTTTTTTCCCTCTTATTGCATTTTTCAGGATCTGGCATCAGGGAAGATGATTGGCAGTGCTAGAGAGGAAGATGGCCACTATACTTTTGATGAAGGAACACAATTGAATAAACAAGGTCAAGAAAAAACTTGTTTGCAAACTATTTTCTTTCCTTGTGAAAATGTTGTTTCCTAAGTTATTTCTTAATAAAAATCCTTCATCATTTCATTGTGATATGTGTGCACTTGCCAAACATCATAGGAGTTCTTACATCCCTCATAGTTACAAGCCAACTAGTCCTTTTACTATTGTACACAGTGATATCTGGGGTGCATCTAGAGTTTCAACTCTGAAAGGAAAAAGGTGGTTTGTAACTATCATAGATGATCATACACGGGTCACATGGGTGTTTTTACTTAAAGAAAAATCTGAGATTGAAGAAGTGTTCAAAAAATTTTACTCAATGATCCAAACTCAATTCAATACTAATATCAAAATTGTGAGAAGTGATAATGGTCTTGAGTACTTTTCTAAGAAGTTAAATAATTTTTTTGCTGAAAAAGGGATTATTCATCAAAGTTCCTGTGTAAATACACCTGCTCAGAATGGAATAGCTGAGAGGAAAAATAGACATTTACTTGAAGTCACTCGTGCAATTATGTTTTCTGCTAAAATTCCAAAATATTTATGGGGAGAAGTTGTTTTACATGCTACCTATCTAATTAATAGGATGCCATCAAAAACTCTAGGATTCAAAACTCCTATTGATACTCTTCAAGCCAGTTTTCCTGAAACTAGACTCATTAATTCTCTTCCCATAAAAATATTTGGCTGCACAGTTTTTATTACCAATCCTGACAGAACTGCAAGCAAATTTGACCCTAGAGGGAAAAATGTGTTTTCTTAGGACTATCTTCAACTCAGAAAGGCTATAAATGTTTTGACCCTATAACAAAAAAGATGTTTATAACTATGAACACTGTTTTTGTAGAAGATCAACCTTTTTTTGGTACTCATCTTCAGGGGGAGATCCCTAATGAAGATGGTAATAATGTGTCACATATCCATGAAAAACTAGAATCTCTTGACATTAATCTAGATGCACAATATAATAGACAGTTAGATGCACTAGAAAATAGTCAAGAGTCAAAAGAAAATGAATTTTTTTTTCTGAAATAAGGAAAGATGATGAACTGCAGACAAGTAAGTTTTTTGGCAAGGTTTATGAAAGGAGAGTTCCAAATCACAGAATAGAGGACATCCCTGATCCTGCCACTGTCCATGAATCTAACTCAATGCCAGAAAATGACAAAGGTAATAATTTCAGTGATCTAAATCTACCCATTTCTCTCAGAAAAGAAAAAAGGTCATGTGTTAAATACCCTATCTCAAACTACCTGTCCTATTCTCAGTTATCTACATCATTTGCAGCCTTTACCTCTAGCCTTTCCACTGTTTCTATTCCCTTAACCATAAAGGAAGCCCTATCTATACCTGAGTGGAAGAAGGCTGTTTTAGAAGAAATGAATGCCCTTGAAAAGAATAAGACATGGCAGACTGTAGAAGTACCCAAAAACAAACCAAGGGTGGGATGCAAATGGGTATTTACCCCTAAATTCAAGGCAGATGGTACACTTGAAAGATATAAGGCCAGATTGGTTGCCAAAGGATACACACAAACCTATGGCATAGATTATACAGAAACTTTTGCTCCAGTTGCAAAATTAAATACTATAAGGATCCTACTATCTCTAGCTACTAACCTAGACTGGCCTCTTCAACAGTTAGATGTGAAGAATGCTTTCCTAAATGGGAAGCTTGAAGAGGAAGTATACATGAGCCCCCCTCCTGGGTTTGAGGAGCAATATGGCTCAAAGGTGTGCAAGTTGGAGAAAGCCTTATATGGACTTAAACAGTCCCCAAGGGCTTGGTTTGAAAGGTTTACTCAATTCATAAAGAAGCAGGGATTCAAGCAAGCCCAAGCAGACCATACACTATTCATGAAATTCTCCATTAAGGGAGAAATTGCAGTACTAATTGTTTATGTGGATGATATAATTCTTACAGGAAACTATTGTGAAGAGATTAAAGACCTGAAGAAGAAGCTTGCTCAGGAATTTGAAATCAAAGACCTGGGAGAATTGAAGTATTTTCTTGGCATGGAGATAGCCAGATCAAAGAAGGGAATTGTGGTATCCCAGAGGAAGTATGTACTAGACCTACTTCATGAAACAAGTATGAGTGCCTGCAGACCAATAGATACTCCAATTGACCCTAATCAAAAGTTAGGAAATGTCAAGGAAGGAGTACCAGTTAATATTCACCAATATCAAAGATTGGTGGGAAGGTTGATTTATCTGGCACATACAAGGCCAGATATTGCCTTTGCAGTCAGTATGGTTAGTCAGTTCATGCATAATCCATTCCAGGAACATCTAGATGCTACCTACAGGATCCTAAGATATTTGAAAAGCTGTCCAGGGAAAGGATTATTTTTTTAAAAAAGTGACAATAGAAGTGTAGAAGCCTTTACAGATGCAGATTATGCTGGTTCAATAACTGATAGAAGGTCTACATCTGGGTATTGTACTTATGTATGGGGGAATCTGGTGACTCGGAGGAGTAAGAAGCAGAATGTTGTTGCCAGAAGTAGTGCAGAATCTGAATTTAGATCTATGGCTAATGGAATCTGTGAACTACTTTGGATCAAGAGAATGATGACAGAGTTGAATATGGAAATGGACCTACCTATGAAGTTATATTGTGACAATAAAGCAGCCATTAATATTGCTCACAATCCTGTGCTACATGATCGTACTAAACACATTGAGGTGGACAAGCATTTTATCAAAGAGAAGATTGAAGCTGGAATTGTGTGCACACCATTCATATCTACTAAAGAACAAACAGCTGATATCTTTACAAAGGGGCTGTTTAAACCAGTGTTTGAATTTCTTATAAGCAAGTTGGGAATGTATGATATATACTTACCAACTTGAGGGGGAGTGTAGAAAAATGTAGCATATACATGTTATTTTATTATGTGTACATCCGGAACTGTATAGATAGGAATTAGAGTTGATTTAGGTCTCTAATTCTTAGATTAGCTCGCAGAGTAGATAAGAATAGATAGATCCTAATATTTAGGATCTGTAACAACTTAAGTTTATCTGTAAATTTGTATATATATCATTGCCGGATGGCTCAATAATATACAAGGAAGATTAATTCTTCAAACCTACAGATACTTTTTTTTGGAGCTTAAACTTAGCAGTAAGTTCCAAACATACACATAATGGTTGCTTCATAATATGCTAATTATCACTTTCCTTTGCAGTATTCAAGAGACCCTTCTGTGATGATTTTCTGAAGTTCTGTTTTGAGAGATTCGATGTGGCAATCTGGTCTTCTAGAACGAAGTACTCAATATCACTTTTGATGTTGCTTTGCCAATTTATTTATATTACTTTTCTATGCTATATCTAACATTGTTCCCTCTTTATATTGTATCATTCATAACTCATGGGAATTAAGTCGCATAACTAATGTAATATGCAGGAGAATTATTGATAGAGTGGTAGATTATTTATTGGGAGATCTGAAGCACAAGTTGTTATTTTGCTGGGTTAGCTCTCTTTCTTTATATAGTTTTCTAGATCCGTTCAATCCCCATCCACTCCACCGGCCAATTACTTCTCTAAGAATAACCTAATAAGATTTGAAGTACGTTATCATGATTTGGAAAGATATATGATCGCTACATCTAGCAAACCAAAGTAACATTTTTTTATAGAAGCAAGAAGTACATTTACTGGTTATTCACATTCTTAACATTAACAAAAGAAGGTTTACTGAAGTTTATGTCCTGTATTTTACGCAGGATATGTCTCATGCTACCCCGACCAAATTCAAGACTCTTGAAAACAAAGACAAACCATTGGTCTGTAAGGATTTAAGGAAAATATGGGACACACTCTACCCTGGTCTACCCTGGAAGAAAGGAGATTATGACGAGTCAAATACATTGCTATTGGATGATTCTCCTTACAAGGCCCTGCTCAATCCTGTAAATTATTTATCTCCTTTATTCTAGTATTTTCTCTCATTAGAAACCTCTATTTTTGAGTTTATTTTTGGCAGTAAATTGTTTCCGTAATCTTGTCTGGTTTAATTTTCCATGATTTTTAGGCTCACACGACAATCTTTCCATATTCCTACAACTTCAGGGATAAACACAGGGATAACTCTTTAGGTGAGTTTTTTCATAGAATTGTTTATCTTCAACATCAACTCGGTTCAAAAAGAAGTTTCTTGAATTTTTCTTAGGCTATGTTTGTAAGTTTGGAAATGGTAGGAGAAGACAAAAGAACACAAAGGAAATGGGTTTTAGATGTTTAGTTTTCCTTGCAACATATTTTTAAGGCAAGTTAATCAAAACTTTTATAAACCTTACATGTACTACATGTATTATTAATAGGGAAAAATAATTAAAATACCCCAAACTTTGAAGGGGTGTGAGATGAACACCCCAAACTTGCATATGTATTTTAAATACCCCAAACTTTATATAAAAAATTATTTTGGCACCATAATCAAGTATTAATGTTTTAAAAAATGTAAATTTATGGTGTTAATTGCATAATATAAAAATATTTTAGAATTCTTGAAGACACAATTAATATTATAAACTTCCATTGAGAAATAAATAATGTTACACCCAATCTATATAATTGCTACACTTTTAATTTGCTATTTTAAATTATGCAACTAACCCTATAAATTTACATTTTTGAAAAAAATAATACATGATAATGGTGCGAAAATAACTTTTTATATAAAGTTTGGAGTATTTAAATTACATATGCAAGTTTGGGGTGTTTACTTCACACCCCATCAAAGTTTGGGGTATTTTTATTATTTTTTCCTTATTAATAATATAATATAAAATATTCAATTATAGAAAGTTTGGACCAAAGATGAAAATTTCTTTGATACTAACCGATATTTTCTCACTTGCCTCTTCTGGACCTCCTAGCTAAAGGTTCTCATTTTTATTTTTTAAAATAATTACCACCTCTTAAATTACAACTTAATCATCAAATACAAAAAATAATACACCTATGACATCACAATTATTGTCAATGACCTCATTATATCATATACCAATCAAAATTATTTCTCAAGATATACTTGAATAACCTTACTTTTTTATTGTCTAAATAACAATGCCATTTTTCAATGAGAAGCTTAGGCCGGGATGGAGGTTGTAGTATATCTCACCATTCTTTGTAAAATTTTAAAAAAATAACTCAAAGATGGCCATTTATATTCCAAGGGTTTAATATATCTTTTACTTTATTTATACTTTATATGGATAAAGATATCAATATCGGTATATCTATCAATATTTCAACAAAAGTGAGGTACAGATATGTCTACCGATACTGATATATTAGTCCTTGGTTTGGACAAATGTCTAAAATTGATATATCGAGTTTGAAGTAATATTTATCTTAAAATTTCCCCCACTCTTTCCTTTGAAATTGTCCTTTATACATGTGTTCCCTAACATTTTCTGAGTTCCAAGCAGACCGTGAATGTTTTAAAACTAAATTTGACTTTGCATAACCAAGACCTCTAAGTTTTAGAAGCAAATTTCTCCATAATCAGGCCCTGGTGGTGATCTTCGTTTGTACTTGGAAAAGTTGGCAGATGCTGAACACATACAGAAGTTTGTTGAACAACATCCATTTGGACAATGTGCAATTAATGAAAAACACCCCAGTTGGGGTTTCTACTCCCAAGTTATCAACAGTCTTTCATCATGATCAGTCCAACTTTGGTGCTTCTCTTAATTTTTTGTGTAACTTCAGGTCATACTAACTCACTGCATCATTTTTTCTAGGGTGCTGATTGAAAAAAATACAAATTACCTTGATAGATTTTGTACCACCAGTTGTAGTTAACATACTCAGTTTTATTGAACAAGCCCTTTTGACATGTTAAACATTTTTGAGCTAAAAGCATTGGCTTTGTTGGTTAAAGTTTATACTATAGATGGTTGGTGAGTTGTGGTAGATTTGGAAATGCATTGAATGAAAGGGCATTCCCAAGAGCCCATTGTCATGGGTATTCAAGTGTTTGCCCACGTGACAAAATTGGTTGAACTTTCTCATGATTAAAGAGTTTTCTAAAACTAGGTTTAGCCAAATAATTCTATCAAGTTTGCTTATTTTGTTAATAAGCAGAATAAGTACTGCAAGTATATATGCTTATCTCATGACTAATTGGCCACTGTAACTGACATAAGGGCCATAAGCCTAAATCTAAACATATGTTACCTCACCATTAATAGTATGCAAACTACTATTAATAAGTAACAATTTTTTTTTGTGAGGAAGAAATAGATTTAAATTGATAACACATCATTCAGATAGTAGATAGTAGGTAAACCGACAAAAAGACTTCTGAAAACTGTCAGTAATATAACTCGCTGATCCATTAATGGGCACAAATGAGTCAAAGACGGTTAACGCAGTCCTTCCATCACCCATATCCAAATCCACAGCCTTACAACAGAAAACAAAATACAAATGAAAGTAAATAGCATGATTCAAACAATTAAAATAAATAAAAGCAAAAAAATAACAGTATTGTCCTAGCTTTCCGATCACCACAATCCTCCACTTCCGTGATGGCGGTTCAGGAGGAGGTTGAACCAACAGTACTGCATATTTTTTCATCATCCTGCTTCTTTTCGGTCAAACTCCCTTTCATACCTTCACGTTGCCAAACGCCAATCCCTAACTCTTTGAGTCGTGAAGCGATGGACAAGCAAGCCATGACTGATCACAATCTGCAAATTAGAGAAAGCAAAACAAAAACCTGCACAACCAGCGCACAATAGAATCTCTCGCCTCTCTTCGTTGAGCCCCTGTCTATCTCACCAAAGCTGACCTCCCTCCGTCGTCCGTCCGTCAAAATAGCCGTAATATTGGGACCCCTAAACCGCAACACTCCTTCCAGCCATCTGCTAATCCTCCTCACTGAGCTTCGCAAATCAAAGAAGAAGAAAACGCCGCTCCTCGACTAATGTCGATAGCGGAAAATTGACGCTAGTGGCTAAAAGCCCTAGGAGACTAGGATGGCAACACCTCACTGCCGTAATCACTGGGTGATCACCACCGGACGAGTCGAAACTAAGCGTTGCCTAATCGGCAACCCTAGAGAGATAAGTTGCGGCTAAAATTATTTCAATTAAAAACATTATAAATGATGTTTGGGAAAACACTTAATAAGTAACGATTATAAATTTAAAATATATGTTGATGTTTTATTGAATCATAAAAATCAAATTTAAATAATAAATTGAGTAAATACACAAAATCAATAATAAATAGACATGGGTCATATTTGCCAGGAGAGGACAAAAAAATCGACAAATAAAAACTCAACGCGATCAAAATCAAAGCCGAAAAAATTTGAAATAATTGAACAAAAGTCACGTAATGATAGGCAGTTCAAATCTCAATTTCTCAATTCATAAACCAAATTTATCAATACAAAACCGATCAAAATCGAAAACACATGATCATTCTTAATAAATTTGAACCATGATTTTGATTAGTACTCCGTATAATATTATGGAAGTTATAAATTTTATACTTTTATGAAAGTAATTCTAACAAAGAACATTTTCGTATAAGTTTTATATTATAAATACTTTCCAATAAAAAGATATAGTTGGTCAAAGTTTTGAAAATGACAAAGTTTGACAAAGTTTTTTTTGGGACGGAGATAGCATTATCTAGGTGCGTTCTTATGATTGGACCCCTTAGTTTTTAATATAGAGTAATAAAAGTAATATTAATAATGTTCTAAAAGAAATTCCATATTTCAGAAAGCAAAACCTTTACCATGTGTTGGTTCTACAACACAACAAACACTATAGATTGAAATGGTTCTATACCATTCTGAGTAATAATATTAGGGTCAAATTGAGATGCATCATAAGTGATACTCATGACAAGAAGAAGGAAAAGGAAGGGAAACTGCCAAAATGATATTCATTGTCAAACACATGACCACTTGACACTCAATTCTTAGGTCAAGAATTCATTATTCTTTGAACAACTGCTAGCCAGAGTAAATAGCTTTATTGTTCATTCCAACATCATGGCCTACTACAACTATCCTCATTCAGTCCCTTAGCAGTGGTGTAAACTTTCATTATTGTTATTTTTCCTTCTTTCTTTCTTTGCGTATGGATGGGGTGAAATATACTTTACCATCATTTTAAATTTTTACCGTGACCTCATTTCTGCATGCAGCGGCGGATCTTGCAACTCAAAGTTAGAAGTTCAAAAAAATTTCATGGTCAAAATATTACACAATAATATTGTTGGATCCTACAATTAAAGAAATGTAATTTCTTCAACAACAAAAAATAGCAAAAATGGTCAAGGTTAAAAAATACTCCGTATTATATAAAAAATAACGATATATAAATTATTACATTAATTCTATACATGCACTTTTGTATTTGATTTTTACATGCAGAGCCAATTTGGTAATCGTGTTTTTCGGTTTATCAGGTTTATCAGTCAACTTTTTCACCAAACACGCAACTTATGATTTCGCGCGCTGAATTGTGTAGTAAAAAAAGCATGATTAAAGTTACTTTTCTGACTGTATTGGCTGAAGTTAATATAGAAGACCATTTTAGCTATTTTTACATATATCTTTTTCTTTATTTTATTTATAAAATATATTGCGTATTTTGAATATATTTTCTCCATAAATAAGAGAATTAGCCAATTCAGTCACTTCAATCACAATATATGTTGTAATGATTCTTGCTCTCATTTCTCGGTATTCATCTTTGTATGAAAGGAGATGCAATGTTATTCTAAAGGTACCACGAAGCCACTCCATATATGGCATCCGTTTTAATTTCTTACCCCACCAATTTAGAAGATTATTTCATTCTTTAAGGAACAAGGTTCATATAGGCATCTTTAATCCTAGAATGTTGGTACACTTGTCAACTGTGCACAACAAGTGTAGACATATTTTGATAAAATTAATGTAGATCTATAAAATTTGGAAAAATTGTGTTTGATCCCTCAATTAGGCACCATATTGAAATGTCAGAGTCATATTTCTGAGATTGTAAATGTTACCTCTGAATTTTCAGATGTGTTCTAAATGTCATTCCCACCGATAATAATTCATCTCTATTTCCGGACTACCAATAAATTCACCGAAAAATGACATTTACAACACATGTGTCAATGTAGGGGTTGCATTTATAATTTGAGAAACACGAGTCTGACATTTTAATATGATGACTAATTGAAGACTTAAAGTGCGATTTTCTCTAAAAATTATGAGAAAATAAAAACTAATATTCTCATCTTTTACCCTTCTATTTAGAAAGTCCCACCCCACCCAACCCAACCCAACCCAACCCAACCCAACCTTAGAATAGATTTCAGTCATATTCCAAGTTTCCGACAACTCTAACAAAGAATGTGAGTTGGAATGATTTTGTTTTTGCTAGCAATGCATAATCAATGTCAGTTTTCAAATCTTCTGGAATTTGATAAAGAAAAAAAAACTTCTGGAATTAGCATCTCATAGTACAGTTTCTAAACTCCGAAACTGATTCAGAAAAAGTTAAGAGGGTCAAATCAATATTCTATTCATTTTAGCACATTAATATCTCATCCCAATGGTAAGGATAAATGTTCTTAAGAATGTATGGGAAAATGTCAAGACTGGACTTCGCGAGTGGGGCAGAGCAAGCCGGTGGGGTTCATATCTAATAGCCGATGATTAGGTGTACAAGATTGCACCGAACATTCAAATGATCAGTCCTACCAATTACATTCTTCGTTCGGTCTTGGTCCATGTCACCTTAAGGTGAATATGCCACATTATTTTTGGTAATGTTTGGACTTTGGCCTTTTATAGGTTTTTAGATTTATTGCTTGCCACATTTTTTGTCGCCCAAAAAAACTTTATGAATTACTTTTAAATACTCACTCCGTCCCGCAAAATAGTTTTCTATTTTTTTTTGGGAAAATAAAAACTAATAATCCAACCTTTTAACGCCCTTTTTACAATAGTTTAACCGATTTATGATCTGTTATTCCAAGTTATTTTCTTATCTTTGCAAAACATTATTGATAGAGTATATCTAGAGAGAGGTGAGAGCTAGAGAGAGAAGTGCAATAATATGCTTCAATAGAATGATTTTGTAACCCCTATAACTACTCCCAAGGGGAGTATTTATAGAGAAAATACGGGCTGGGCTCCCAAGCCTTGGGCTTGGGAGGCCCATTTACAACTGGACCGCTACCGGGCCGAATACAAAGCCACTAATGGGCTGTACAAATGAGTAAGTGTAAAATCCGGTTCTGGGAGATCTTCGTGGCCGACGAAGGCGTGGCCGACGAGGGCACGGCCGACGAGGGCACCCGGGTTCCTTGGGCTCAGGACCATAATCTGAGTGGCCCCTTTTCGGCCGACGGGGGCGTCTTGGCCGACGAGGGCGCCACTCTGTGTCTTGTGCTTTCTGTTCTTCCGAGTATGTGGGTCCGGGGGCTCAGACCCATATACTCCATCAGGAGTCCCCCACTCTCTAAGCTGAGACGTAGACGAAGTGAAGGAGAGTAGATTCCTGTGCTTTGTTGCCTTTGGCCGTTACCTGTTCCTCACTGTAGGCGGGGAGGCCGTTGTTTCCTTAATGTGTTTGTTTGAGGATGATGAGTGTCCTGTTTCAATGGTGGCCGTTTGAAGGCACACTTTCCCTTTCCTGGACGTTGATGGTTGGAGTTTATGTTTGGGCCGGTGAGGCCGTTGAGGTTGATCCTTGCTTTGAGGACGATGGTGTCCTTTCCTTTGGGTGGCCGATGAGGGTGCTCGCGCACTCCTTTTGGCCGTTGTTGATGATGTTATGTGCCTCTGGCCGACGAGGCGCCATTGTGATGCGTGGACGATGTGGCCATGCTTTGTGGTTACATTCATGTTCTTTGTATTGTTCCTTTCTGTTTTGTTGAGGCTGATGTAGT